TCTTTAAGCCCAGATAATTTATGTCAATTATTCAATGTTCATTAAGGAAACTGAAAAAAATATGAGTATTAGCTAAAAGGAAATGGAAAGGCAGGCTTTTGGAAGGCATAAAAAGATTGGAGCCTATTTTAAGAGACTTTATTGGAAGCATAGGAAAAGAGTATCTGGGAATTTTTTTAATCCAATCACATATAAATGTGACAGTCACAGTGGTTATTGTGGAGGGAAAATGACATCTCTCAAAGAATGTAAAAAGCTCCCCAGAGGAGCACAGGAAGACCACAGAGTGTATTAGGTTAGGTACAAAATAGGACAAAAGACTTTGAGAAACACTTTTGAAGAGAGTCCAAAACACATAAAGGGATTATTTAAAATCTATTAAAAGGAAGAGGCTGGAATAGCAGTGGGATCTTTTACTGAGAATAAGGGGGCACAGGGAGTGCTCAGGTACCAAAGACAATAGACCAAACTAATTAAATGCCTCTGAATGTATTGAGAAAGATAACAGAGTGACAGCACATTCAAATTACCTACTACGAATGGATCCATAGCAGGTAATTAAATAGTTTTTTGTATTTTGCATATTTCAAGTCTAGTAGGCAGACTAGATACTGATAAATCACTGGAAACTCTTGGTGTTTCTCTTGAGATTTCTGAAGGCCTCCAGAAGAACCTTTTTTCTTGTCTTGCCTCTCCCTAAAGCCACTGCTCTTGTCTTCCTGCTCCTATTACCGCCAAGCCTCCTAAGTGCATAGTCTTCCCTAGCCACCTCACTTTCTCATCTCCAATTCATTCTTCAACCCATTCTGCTAACTCCATTGAAAGGTCACTAAATCTGAGTTGTTGCCAAAGTCATTAAATCAACAGATCTCTTTTTAGACTTCATTCTTTTTAGCCTTTAGATATATGGCACCATTAACTGTCTCTTTTGTTCCTCCTTTCTGAAACCTCTTTTCTTAACTTTTAACATATGTGAATGTCCTGGTTTTACCTCTCTGCTTCTTACCAGTGACCTTCACTGGCTCCAGAATTACTTAGGTATTTCTTTCTTTCTTTCTTTCTTTCTTTCTTTTTTTTTTAAAGGCTAGTCAAATGAAGCAGTGGGAATGGATAAGTAACAAAGAAATCTGTAATTGGTTGTGATCAATTAATTGTAAACACTACTCCATTCAGACAAGCCTTATCTACTTAATTTTGATAACACTCTGGGTTCCAGTCTCTATCCACTTCTTACACTATATCCTTCACCTTGTTTTAACCTCTCCTGTGACATATCCTAGCCCCGCCTCTCATCCCATTTTCTAATTCATAGTTGATATAGTCATATAGATGTTGTATAGTTGATTCTGATCCAGTAAGCAAAACCAGATTAATATATTACCAGCAATCTTTCTCTCACTCTGTGTAATTCCTGTTGTGGTTAATAGCATTATCATCCACCCATTCTCATTCTGGATTCCTTTGTCTCCCTACACATCCAGCTAGTTACCAGATCTTAGATATTTAACCTCTGAAATGTCTTTCAAATCTGTCTCCTATTGTCCATCTTCATTGCCCAACTATGGTCTTCATTTGTTTTTCATCTGGACTATTGCAATAGTCCCCTAACTCATCTTGCCCACTTTTACAGCTACCAATCTCTTGCCAGCATTTTTTTTCCCCAAACACAAACTAGTTTTAAAACCCAGACTTCTACTGCCTACATAACTCCTTAGGTAAGCATTTAACGTCTTTTGTAGCCTGGCCCTAAAATAAAATTTCCACTTTTCCCCTTTAAATTAAGTTTCTCCTGTATGACTAGTGTCTGGTCATACAGGACACTGGCCATCCTTGAGCATTCCATGCACATTCGTTACCATGTCTTTGCTCATACTCTTCCTTGTTTCACAACTCTTCTCATGTCTCACCTGACAAACTCCTATCCTTTAAGACAAATTTCTGTCTTCAAAATACGGGCCCTGGGCCAGCAGCAGCAGTATCACCTGGGAACTTGTTAGAATGCAACTTCTTGGGGGCCCCACTTTAGACTCTATTTAATCCAAAACTTTGTGTGATGAGGACCAGCAATGTGAATTTTAACACGTCCACCAGCTGATTCTGATGCATTCTAAAATTTAAGAATCACTGTTCTAGGGAACAATTTATTTATCAATGGCCATATCACTTTACATATACCTGTATTACTTATTGTATTATTTAATAACCGTGTTTACTTGTTCACTTATTTATCTGATCTGCTAAGTTGTGAGTCCTCAAAGTCAAATACAATGTTTTGTGTTCTGACACCTGCCATAGTGTCTGGCACATAACAGGTGCTGGATAAGAATTCAACATACTAAAATATACCCAATTCCCTGTAGGATTCAGTCTAGTTAGAGGACATAGAGAGGGCTAAATCAAATGGCATCCAAGACATTTACTCTTAAAGGTTGATAAACACCACATAAACCAAAAACATACACACTGACAATAACAAATGTCAGCAAGGTAATAACCAGTGGGTACAAGGATTAATACCTGTGTGATGAAATCATCTGTATAGCAAACTCCAGTGATACTAATTTACCTATGTAACAAACCTACACTTGTACCCCTGAGCTTAAAATAAGTTTTTTAAAGAACAATAAAAAACAAAGCAAATGTCAGCAAGGATGAAGAGAAGCTGAATTTCTCATACATTGCTGATATACCTACTCTGGAAAACACTTTAGAAATTTCTTATAAAATTATTCCCTCACTATGTGATTCAGCAGTTGTACTCCTGTGTATTTACCCTAGAGAAGTGACTACCTATGTTTACACAAAAACTTGTATGCAGATGTTTTTAGCAGCTTTGTTTGTAATAGCCAAAAACTAGAAACATTAACAATCAAAAAAGAAATCAAGAAAACAATTCCATTTATAATCACATCAAAAAATGAAAACTTGGGAACCAATTTAACCTAAAAGATTAAAGACCTGTACACTGAAAACTATAAAACACTGATGAAATAAATGAAGAAGACACAAATGAAAGATATCCCATATTCATGGGTTGAAAAAATTTATATTGTTAAAATAGCCATACTACCAAAGTAATCTACAAATGCAATGCAATCCTACCAAAATTCCAAAGGTGTTTTTCACAAATATATAAAAAAAATACAAATTTTTATGAGACCACAAAAGACCCCAAAGAGCCAAAACAATCTTCAGCAAAAAGAACAAAGCTGGAGATATCACTCTAGGCTACCTGATTTCAAAATCTACAAATCTGTAATAATCAAAACAGCATGATGCTGGCATAAAAACAGACATATAAATCAATTGAACAGAATAGAGAGCCCAAAAATAGATCCATGTGCTTACAGTCAATTGATTTTTGACAAAAGTATCAAGAAAACACAAAAGGGAAAGGACAGCCTCTTCAATAAATGTTGTTGGGACAACTGTGTATCCACATGCAAAAGAATGAAATTGCACCTGTTACCCCAGCATTTTGGGGGGCCAAGCTGGTTGGATCACTTGAGATCAGGAGTTCAAGACCAGCCTGGCCAACATGGTGAAACCCCATCTCTACTGAAAATATAAAAATTAGCCAGGTGTGGTGGCATGTGCTTGTAATCCCAGCTACTCAGGATGCTGAAGCAGGAGAATCTCTTGAAACCGGGAGGCAGAAGTTGCAGTGAGTGGAGATTGCACCACTGCACTCCAGCCTAGAAGGCAGAGTGAGACCCTGTCTCAAAAA